TGAGTGTGTGAGTGAGTGAGTGAGTGAGTGAGTGTGTGTGAGTGAGTGTGTGAGTGAGTGAGTGAGTGAGTGAGTGTGTGTGTGTGTGTGGGTGAGTGAGTGTGTTAGTGAGTGAGTGTGTTAGTGAGTGAGTGAGTGAGTGAGTGTGTTAGTGAGTGTGTGTGAGTGAGTGTGTGAGTGTGTTAGTGAGTGAGTGAGTGTTAGCGAGTGAGTGAGTGTGTGTTAGTGAGTGAGTGTGTTAGTGAGTGAGTGAGTGTTAGTGAGTGAGTGAGTGAGTGAGTGTGTTAGTGAGTGAGTGTGTTAGTGAGTGTGTTAGTGAGTGAGTTAGTGTGTGTGTGTGTGAGTGAGTGAGTGAGTGAGTGTGTTAGTGAGTGAGTGTGTGTGTGTGTGTGTGTGTGTGTGTGTGTGTGTGTGTGAGAGTGTGTGAGTGAGCGTGAGTGGGTATGGGTGTGTGTGTGTGTGTTAGTGAGTGAGTGAGTGTGTTAGTGAGTGTGTTAGTGAGTGAGTGAGTGTGTGTGTGTGAGTGAGTGTGTGTGTTAGTGAGTGAGTGAGTGAGTGAGTGAGTGTGAGTGTGTGGGTGAGTGAGTGTGAGTGTGTGAGTGAGTGAGTGAGTGTGTGAGTGTGAGTGAGTGTGTGTGTTAGTGAGTGAGTGTGTTAGTGAGTGAGTGTGAGTGTGTTAGTGAGTGAGTGTGTGTGTGTGTGTGTGAGTGAGTGAGTGAGTGTGTTAGTGAGTGAGTGAGTGTGTTAGTGAGTGAGTGTGAGTGAGTGAGTGTGTGAGTGTGTTAGTGAGTGAGTGTGTTAGTGAGTGAGTGAGTGTGTTAGTGAGTGAGTGAGTGTGTTAGTGAGTGAGTGAGTGTGTTAGTGAGTGAGTGAGTGTGTTAGTGAGTGAGTGAGTGTGTTAGTGAGTGAGTGAGTGTGTTAGTGAGTGAGTGAGTGTGTTAGTGAGTGAGTGTGTTAGTGTGTGAGTGAGTGAGTCTGTTAGCGAGTGAGTGTGTTAGTGTGTGAGTGTGTGAGTGAGTGTTAGTGAGTGAGTGTGTGTGAGTGTGTTAGTGAGTGTGTTAGTGAGTGAGTGAGTGAGTGTGTTAGTGAGTGTGTTAGTGAGTGAGTGTGTTAGTGTGTGAGTGAGTGTGTTAGCGAGTGAGTGAGTGAGTGAGTGAGTGTGTGTTAGTGAGTGAGTGAGTGTGTTAGTGAGTGAGTGTGTTAGTGAGTGAGTGAGTGTGTTAGTGAGTGAGTGAGTGTGTTAGTGAGTGAGTGTGTTAGTGTGTGAGTGAGTGAGTCTGTTAGCGAGTGAGTGTGTTAGTGTGTGAGTGAGTGTGTTAGTGAGTGAGTGTGTGTGTTAGTGAGTGTGAGTGAGTGTGTGTGAGTGTGTTAGTGAGTGTGTTAGTGAGTGAGTGAGTGAGTGTGTGTTAGTGAGTGAGTGAGTGTGTTAGTGAGTGTGTTAGCGAGTGAGTGAGTGTGTTAGTGAGTGAGTGTGTTAGCAAGTGAGTGAGTGAAACTGATTCAAACACAGCAGACTCAGACATGAAGAAGAAACGCTCCTGCAGTGTTTCTGAAGCGGCTCTGCTCTGATGCTGGGAGTTCTGCGGGGAACCGAGGCTTTCTAGTGCTTCAGAAATGTTCATCAAGCATCAAGAGCTGTTTTCATGTTTACAAGCTGCTTGCAGAAATAAAAGAAATACAGTATCTTAGCTCTCCTTTATGCATTTTCTATGAGAAATTATTATATTCCACTCCATTTGTCCTCTTTCCTTCTTGAAATAACGCAGCAGTGAAAGATTCATCACGGCAGAACTAAATTAAACGTTTACCATCAGCTTGTTTTTAATAATAAACACTCAGCTTCATGTGTCCCGTGCAAGAAATACAGCTCTGAACACAAGCCCAGAGTCATAGTGAAATACTATTATAGTTTTATATATATAATATTCTGAATTAGATTTTATTTTTATATTTTCCATTTTAATTTTGAAGTTTTAGCTATTTGTTTTTTTTCTTTTTTATGCCTATGTATTATTACATTTTATTATTGTTTTATACATTTGTATTTTCTGTTTTTATATTTTATTTTGTGTATGTAGTAATTAATTTGCTTGTTTTTATTGAACATCATCCTAATAATCCACAGCGTGTCTCTGTTTGAATGCATGATGATTTTAACAGTAAATAAAACACTAAATAATCAATAAACACACAATATATATCCAGAGTGCTACGCATTAAACATCTGCGCTCATAATTCACCAAACGTATGTTGATTTACAATTATTATTATCTTATCTGTACTGCACAGAGAAGAGAGCTGAACTGTTTTCTGTCGTGCTCTTGCATCATCAGCACGGTTTTCCTGTTTAACGCTGCTTTGTATGAAGCGCTATAGACTTGATGATCACACGTTAAAGATCTCTGAGGCCAAAGCTCAAAGCTTGATGAGGAATAAATGAGCAAGATGCCGTTCTCCTCGTATAGACGGCAGAGAAAGCAGAAAAGACACGACACCGTCTGAGAGGAAACAAAAATGCATTTAATATGGACACATTTACAGTGTGCAGAGAGCTGGAGTCACCGCAGCAGGGCATGCTGGGACAGCTGGAGTCACACGTACCGCAGGAAGCCAAACTTCTTGCGCAACGTCTCCTCTCGCGGCCGCAGGTTAAAGAGCTCCTCAGTGATGGGAGACACCCATCGGTCCGTGTGGAACATCTTCTCACCCACCTGAAAGACAAGCGACAAGACGGTGAAGACTCCAGAAGATCCGTCCGCAGGAGATCAGCTCCAGCACACACGCACACACACACACACACACACACACACACACACACACACACACACACACACACACACACACACAAGTCAATCAACCTTTCAACCTTTGACTCCACTGAAATGTTCTGTGAATAGAGATGTTTGTGTGCTATCAGAATCTGGAACCCTGACAAGGGCTGTCTCTCCTTCCGTCACAGAGACTCTAAAATCCAGCCGGGAACATCCTTCATGATCACCGCCTCCTCCTCCAGATTCTCCCGGAGCATCCGTAACGTCCTGCAGGAGAAACACACACACTTCCACATCAATCCGGCAGAAACAGACGTCAATCACTCTCTTAATGAACACCCCCCCCCCCCCCCCCCCCCCCCCCC